TTGAGTGATCATTCATTATTCATTGAATTTTTCCCCTCCTTTTCGACTTTCACCTGCACATCTGGAGACAGCAGGTTCTTCATTTGCTGGACAATTGAGCATTGTTTTTGCGACCATTAACTCAGAAACATGTTTGCGATGTCAAAGCAATAACCAAGAACATGTCTAAAATGGCCTGCAGAAGTGCAAAACCAGAAATAGTTTTGTCACAAGAGAGAAACAAAGTACATGTATGGAGTGGTAGACAACAGTGTAGACAAATGTCACTTTCACTCAATATTCCAAAAGGTTTCCTACCGGTGCTGCTTTCTTCACATTCTGTACGTAGATGAGAGATGCTATTTTGGGTCGTTGCTTGCACCAACACACTGGCCATGGGGGGGCCATAATGTGCTTATTTTGAGGAGAACAAAGAAATGGTTCACTTTTTCAAAGGATTTGAAGTGGCGATGAATCAACTTTAACCTTTGGTTCTCGTTTGGTCAGAATAATGTCATCACACAGGCACAAAAGAAAAACCAATACTCAACCAATTCCCAACCATGCTTCTCGTTACTGTCACGAAAGATACACATACACGTACAACTGTCAGGTGACTCGCGTGCACGTGCCACCCCAACAAAGGTTTAAAATGTGCATGCACCTAGAATGTGTACATGTACAGGATTCGTTTGTTCATTGTGAGAGGTTGAAGGTTGGAAAAGGTTGGAAAGGTGGGGGATCAATAAGTCACTTCCAACTCGTTACTTCAGTGGGACTGCCCAACTTTTTGGACAGGTGTCTGCTCTCTGATTTTATTTCCCCCTGAAATCTGACCTCTTCCTCTTGCTACCGAAACTGCATCCCTGCATCCCAGACACTGTTCAATTCCACCAGGACGGTAAGGCTGCATACACTCTCAAACTGGACCAAATTTGCTACCATTTCTGCGGGCTACAAGGATCCAACCTTCTCCCATGTACACAGCCTGAGCAAAATGAACGAAACCTTAGATCCCCAATTCAATCAGCTCTCTCCAAAGCCTTGTTCACATCGTCTTCATGGGACAAAACACAAGGTGGAGGGCAGGGGGGTCCCCTTTCAGTGAACTCAGGCTAAAATATCAGCTTTCATACCGTAAATTGCCGTCTTTACATTTTAACAGTGCGTGTAACTTAATTGTTTACACAACGGGAGGATCTCGTCTGCTGATGACGGTAGGGTCCACAGAAACAAGACTCTCCAAATTGGGTTCGTGGAAACCTTCCATGAGATTATATTTTCGCTGCGATGCGATTACATGTAAATCAAATTGTTAGCATCTGAGGGCTCATGGCATTTGGCGGTACTTATTGCGATTTTTTTTATTTCCCTGGGGCGGCCAGAAGTTGGTCTAACTCCAAACCAGCAAACATGGGCAGATATAAGGTTGAATACCAATGACTTCTTATCACATCCATCTCATGAATAGCATCAAACTATGCTACCGGTAGCCTCGTCCTCGGCTTAAGGTCAACAAAGGACCAAAATATCACTGAAAAAAAAAATTATAGGCTGAGATGACGGAAAGGTGTGCTTTGATTATTTTTTCTTATGGCTTTAACACCAACAGTTCTTGCCACATTCAGGGTTGAGACTTGAGCAAAATAACAAATCCACTAGATGTACATATTCAACGGAGATTCTAATGGACCACAGCAGTAGGGTCTACAGTACACATTTAAAATACCCATTTCTTTTTTTCACACCAACTTTCACAGAAACACTTCGGGGGGAAACTCACAAGTTTTCCAAATTTTAAAAGAGATTGTTTCCAAAAAAGCCCTCAAATCAGAAGACTCTGATGACAAAAAATCCTGAAATCAGAAAAATCCTGACAAATCTCATGCTTGCACATTACATGTATCTCTTGGAATGAAATGCCACCACCCATGTACATGTACCTAATGCCCAAAGGAAACAAGAGAGTGCAAACTCAACAGGAGAAAGCACCATCTGTCTTCTAGTAAATCACACCTTAAATCAGATAACCTGGGTCACTTGTTGGTCAGGTTGAATATCACACAAGGACTCTGAGTGCAACAGGTAAATTAATACAGGTCTGTGGAATAGTATCCAAGGTGTACAACATCACGCTGGTCAAATATCTCACAATGTCACATCCGACTTCATAACTCTCCTATGCAAAGATGCATTCTTGACAAAGTTGTCCTATCAGTCAAAATCAGTCAAATGACCCTTATGTGTCTGTATACTGGGGCAAATCAAGAGGAAGGAATTTTTGAGTAAACGCTTGTGGTTACACCATGGATCAATCTCTTTCTTGAGTATGTGTGGTTCTGAGAAGAACCGGGGAATAACTCGACGTTTCGAACGATGTACTCTGTCCGTCTTCAAGGAATTTTTGACTGTCTGTGACTGTTACAGTAAAAGGAGGGTTTTAAACATTAAAAAAATAAAGGTTTTGAAGTACATGAACTGGTACATGTCTGGAGACACCTGTACACTCCAACACATGTATATTAAAATTTAATAGATGCACAAGTACCCCAGCAATGACAGCATGCCCCGAGAGATGAAGTACTTCATGGGAGGGTGACAGCAGAATTAATTCATACAAAAAAAAATTCCCCCATGGGGAAGAAGCCGATTACTTATTAAAACCTCCTGAACTCTAAGACAGCTTCAACTTGACAATGCTTCAGGCAACAGCATGTATTATTCATGTCAACAATGCACAGTCATTTTTCTTGGATGACCAAAACATCTTGTGATATTTTCTCAACCACATGTATATGTCCTTCTTTGGGGGCTTGTCGAAAACAAAAACACAGATAAAAAAAAGACCTAGCGGTAATATTAAAATGATAAAAAAATTATGCACATTTACAAAAACGCACAGGATATTACACACAGGCACCCACATGTTCCGCTGAATTAATTAACTTGTTTGGGGAAATTTATCGGACTAGAGATCAACTCAGCATTAAAATATGAAAATGCATCCGTCCATCTACACTGACACTGCCCTGGGAGGTTGAATGATAATAACCACCAGATTTCCTAATCTGCAACGTTTGCTCACAATGAGGGAACGATTGACAACAGTGTACAGTTACAACTGTCTGTAACTGACCCACCCCCTGAAGAAATTAGGTTGATCAGACAGGACATTGTCCATGTACATGCAGAGTGCCGGTGGCAGTGTCCAGCCATTGAGAACTGTCCAGCCATGATTAGTTTGCTCTGATACTCCTGGATCCATGTGAATCTGTGTGTAATTACATGTAGAGTTCATGTACGGACATGTACATGCAACTCAGCCTGAGAAAATGAGCTGCAAGCTGCCAGAGGCCTTGAGAAGATCTTGTACAATGTAAATTGGTGGGAAATTCTCTGCCTACTGTACATGTATATGCCTCATCAGGAGCAAAATTGATTGGTGATACAGTGCACCTGATCATCAAATAAAGAGAGTTCAGATTTGCCTTTTTAATGCAACAAAAACAATATCCAAGAATCTATGGCCTTACAAAAATACTTGGTGGGATCTAGTTGATTAGTACATGTATTCAAAGTATCTTAAAAGAACCCCAGTACAAGTAAATTAATGTACAACGTACATGTACATTAATTGTTCATGTTCATCCATTCAGATTAAACCACAAACTGTCTCATGCAAACTCCTATCACAACAAATAAGGTGTTGAGATGATTAACACTCCTTATATCACCAAGCCAGTATCACTTTCTCACAAAGCCCAGATTCTTAACTTATGGCACAGTACAACCAAGATAATTATGCATCCAGGCCCTGCAATCAAGGCGGAATAACTCCACTGAAGTGTCCACCATCTGCACTGGACACAACAAGACACCCACGCCTACACAAGGTCAAAGGATGAGTCCATTGGGTGTACATACTGGGCATAATTATTTGCAGAACACATTCCACCAGCAAAACATACAGAGCTGAGTTTGGGAACCATGCACCCGTCAGGACCATTCCGAATGAAGGAACCGGCTAGTATACACATGTAGATAACTGCAACAAGAAACAGACTGTAAATAATTTCTTGTAGAGATATTTAAAAAATAACACAAGACAAGCAAATGCTTCGTGAACGCTGAAACAGATTTCACGTTCTGCTGAGCGTTTTGGGTATTGTTCTTTGTGGTTTTTTGTTTACATTTTCATAAACCATATTCACATTTGGGTTTTTATGGGGGGGGGAGGGATTTTTAATGGGTACAGGTACAAGACGCACCCCACAGGGGACCTCCCGCTACAAACTCTAAAGCTAGACACATCTTTAGACTTAGAGGGAAAAATCACAATAAGCTGAATTAATGTGGACTCGGACACATTTCTGGATTTTGAAACCAGAACAGGATAATTAAAACTTCATTTACAGAAATGTCAAAATGGTAATCAACCACTCAACTTTGTAACCAATGAAACCCCATACAAAAATCATAGAAACCAAGCAAATTGATCAAAACAGTTAGAACTATATGTATAATAAAACCAATGATTAAAGTCAAGACATAGCCAACGTACAAGACCAACATACATGTACAGTAGTGTGAATAATGGAACTCATATGAATGCACTTTGGAAACTGACTTAAAGCACAGGCACACCACATACAGAAAATGGAAGATCCTTCATGTGGGTCTGCCGTACTAAAGTGAATAGGGTTTGACCAAATAAGGCCTGTTAACACATGGATGTATTTGTACATGTACATACATACATGTACATTGTAGATGTACATGCAGACCGGTACATGTACACTGTATGGAAGCTTACATGTATATGTACTGTACATGTACATTGTAGGCTTATTGTGGGACACACTACCAAGAAAGTGACAGGGAACTGTACAATACAGCTAAGTGTGTGTACATGTATGTATTCTTAAGGGATTCCACTCCTCATGCACAAACGCATACATTTCTGGCACTGCTAGACACACACTTCTGGAACCACACTCTTTACCAAGAGACTGAGCCTATACCTCTGTGCTGTGCGATGCTGCTCTGGAGTTCTGCATCTCATTGCGCAGTGCCACATTCTCTCGCTTGATGCCATTCAGGGTGGACAGAAGGACCTGAAATGAGGGTTTTTTGTCAATTTATTAAAACTGTGGATTGTCCGTTTCACAAATGACCGGTATTTATGACAGAGTTCTACATTGCAGTTTGTACATGTACATATGTACCTTTTGAAAAGTCTTGCACACATCCATACAAGTATGTACATGTATACTTTTAGCTACTTTGGTAATTATAGTTTTTGATGGTGAGATTTCATTGGTTGAGAACATTCCATGTTACATAAAATTATTTCAGACATCAGTTGGCAGCCATCTTTATGCTGCTAACAAAGTCATCCCGTACAGGTACATGTACTGAACACACCTTGTTGCTAAAATGCAACAATGCACTTTATGACGGATGAGATGTACATGTACATTCATACACGCAAGGATTTCCTGTAGCGTAACAAAGATAACATTTTAACGAGTTCTGCCAAATTCTGTGCACAAACAGTGCTGGGTGACACCTATGCTCATTTCCATGCCTGAGTGATTCCCACTGAGTTTCAAAATGTACATGTATGTAAACAGAGAGTGGCTAAAACTCGTCCTTGGTCTGGAGGTGGAAACAAGTGTGGCATCCCCAAGGGGCCATGGGCCACAACTGGGCATTGCACCACAGGAGACATGCAGCAAATATCGCTCCGCAACTATGCATGGAGTTTCATAAAAGCAACGATGCGCAAAAGAAGAAACGTTTACACAAAAATCTCGAACAAATGAAAACCTCTAGTCAGCGTCTGCAAAGTCCAATTTTACAGTAAAGGACTGTGGTTGTGGAGTCTTGTCTGCATTTTTGGACAAAAATAAATACTGAACCTGGGACAACTTAATTATGGAATAATACTGTGGGTGTCGGCAAGCGGTTTTACAGTTCTGGACCCCAAGGAGTATATGCATGTACTCTAGTACGTGTAGGAGTCAGCATGGATGCATTCCTGTTTAAATGCAGGGAAAGCACTGTACATGTACCTCTGAATAAACAGGATCAGGGTGTCACAAACATGTTACAGTCTGAAATTTGTTTTGTTACCCTGTCAAGTGGAGTTTGGGAGTTGTTTTATGGGAATTTTGGCTTGTTTTTCCATGTTACCGGTATGGACACCATGTAAATGCACAGTACCAGTCCATGCGCACAGTATAATTGAAAGTAAAATTCACTGCACAGAAAACTAGAGAAACTTTTCAAAGGCGAGTTGTAAGTAGAAGTTGATTAACCAGGCTAGACATTTTATTTACATTTCACCCGCTGCAAGTCAGGTTGTATCATTACTGCAGTGCCATGTATAGAGCCAATGATTTTCCATTTTGCCAATCCTGAATTTCGCTTCAGAAATTCAAATTCTGTTTCATACATGTACCTTAAGCATGAAAAAGAGAGCATGTTAAACTATGCATGGAAACCATTTGCCCAGCCATGCCCCCCCCCAAAAAAAGAAACAAATGTTGTTTGGAAATCTCCAGTGTTTCCAACCTTTTATTTTAAATTCTGTAGTGAAAATTTAAAAAATCCACACCACAAATACAGCATCACCCACCCTTTGATTTCCCATCGGAGGTGCCGGTAGTAAAAACGAAGTCATTTTGGAGAGCATTGGTGCACTGTCCCTAGCTGTCTGTGCAGTAAAAGGTTTGGCCTTGGAGTTGGCACTGTAGTATGCTGATTCTTGTTGGGACGCATGTATATGTACGTTTCCCTTTACAATAATATGTCAAACTATAAACTGCTCTTTCTTGGTAATTAAGCCATGAACAGTGTACACATAAAACGAACCTGGTCCTACATGTACATGTAGATTTCAAATTTATTTAAATGTAATTAATGTGCAATAATTAGGCCTACTAAGCACAATAAATAATGAAGACAAAACAGGTCTGTCTTTTTAGAGGAGTAACGGGAGCAGGGACTTGTAGTAACTGTCCTTATTCCTCCTTTTTTCCTTCAAACTGTAGTTTTCTTCCCAAACATGTTGGCTGGTGAGATCGCTTCATGGACTTTTTTTCTTTGTTCTTCTGAATGTCAAAACTTGCCAGCTTTCATAACTACCTGATTTTCTTCACGAATTTCTGCCAGCTGAACTTCTTTCGCCCCTGAAAATGTAAACAAAGAAAATCAGTGGGACATTATTATACACAAGTTACAAAAAAGGGAGTCGCACGATGCATAGAGATTATCCTTACTTCCTGAAGGACCCCGGACAGAAGTCCCTACAGTTGTTGTTCATGCATATTTCATATAAGTAAATCTGCTTTGAGGAGAAAAAACTCTGATTTACATTCAAAATTCCCATTTTTATGCATAAATTTACATACCATACATGTACCATAATTCCATTTAGCCTTCTGGTTGCACGATACAAACATACTAGTCTCAAATATCGGTACTTATCAGTACAAACAAAACACTGACCAAAACGTTTTGTACCAAAGTACAATGATTATTCAACAGGGATAAACAGAGGCAGACTAAGCCCCAGGATGCAGAAAAACTGGCCAAACAAAAATCAGACCAGGGGATGGCAGGGAGGGGATTGTGCCAAACACTGGAATGTATCTCACTTCCTCCCTGGATTGAAAGCATACTGTACAGGTACATGTACATCGCTGTCGTGGTTGTTAGAAGATCTGTCTGGAAAGATTGATGTTACCCAGTTTGGCAATCAACATAAACTGTCTACCTGTCACTACTTAATAAAAATACTTCATCAACTGTATACATGTGTACTAATGCTGATAATCCCAAGTCGCTGTCAACCATTGTGCTGACAGATTTTTCCAAAGCACTTGATCAAATTAATCAAATTAACATCCTGAAAAGTTGGTCAAACTTGAAGTACGACCTTTAATTGTCTGTTGGATCATCAACTTTCTTGAAAATTGTCAGCAACGAGTAAAGTACAATGGCAAATACTCTACTTGGAAAGGAATTCACAGTGGGGTCCCCCAAGGTACCAAACTAGGCCCTATTTTGTTTCTTGTCATGATTAATGATGCTTGTAATGACGACTGTATTTCATACCGGTATTATAAATATGTTGACGATTTAACCTTTGTTGAAAGTCGTAAATGTGTTCAAACCTCAAGTATGCAACAATCCTTAGTTAACCTACAAAATTGGGCAACAAATAATTACATGAAGTTGAATACTACTACGTGCTGTTCTATGACGGTTTCATTAGCCAGGAACATAGATGAAGTTGCTCCTTTGTGTATAAATAATATACCTCTTCAAAATGTTAAGGTTGTCAAAGTGTTAGGTGTGATCATTCAAGATGATTTAAAATGGGAATGTCATGTGAGCAAAGTAATAAAAAAGCAACAGACAGTTATGCTCCCCTCGTTACGTGCATATATAATATACCTGTTGGCGGTACATTAGTCCCATCTTGGACTATTGTGTTCCCGTATTTAATAATAATCGTATCAAAGAACAATTGTATACGTTAGAACGTATTCAAAAACGGGTTTGCAAAATCATACTCAGAAATACAAGCTATGACAATGCTTTAAACTTATACAACCTTGAAACACTGCAAGAACGACAACAAAAAATCTGCTACCATTTCGCTTTATCTATTGAATCTCATAATGTGTGTAAAGGTTGGTTACCACCTCAAAAAAATAAGTCTCTTAACTTAAGATTCGCTCAGAAATATGAACAGTGTGAGTGTTGCACAAAACGGTTTTCAAAATGTGCTCTCCCACAAATTGTCAATATCTTAAACTCTTTATAAATTTTATGTTTTCCCCCTTTTTTACAATGTTTACTGGTATTTTATAATTTATTCTCTATCTTCCATATATTTTAAGACATCTGTTACTATAATTCTACATTTAAAAAATATTTCTTAAATAATTGAACTCTTTTTTTGATGTATTTTAATAGCACTCGCAGTTTTTTTAACCCTAACAATCCCGAATGCTACAAAGTACTACTTAGTAGTAAAATGTAGTACTCAGCCCTGTCGCTTCTAAGAGGACATGACATTATTATTCTCTGAAGCCATAAAATACAATAGAGAAGACAATGTACCATACAGTGCTGTGGCACTATGAATGCATGGTTTCATTATCCCTGTACAAGCAACAATGGAATAAACCTAGCCAGAAGTAGTAATTTGTAGCGCTAGGTCCTTCAGGCTCAGAGTGTTACATAGTATTTTGTAGTACTGAATACTCTGAGTCAAACAACACCCAGTACTGTTAGGGTTAATGAATGTTCACATGTACAATTCAGTTTTTACTGCCATACATGTCTTTTAATAAACCATTCTTGAACTGAATTGAATTGTAGTCAAGCCAAATGTACATGTACATGTAGAGCTGAACATGTGTGTGGCTATTGCTTACCCATCACACAGTACATGTACACAACACAATGCACACAGAGCGACTACATGTATATCACATGTGCACTGCATGCCAGCCTGCTATCCAATTTCAGTGTCGCATGGCGCTGATTAAGCCTGGCACCTGACAATAATGCAATAGAAAATGCTGCGCGAAACCATTCCGTCTTTTGGTGAAAAAAAGGTCATGTTGAACCTACGGATTTCCTTCAAACAACTACACTAAAGATTACGCTTTTAAAAATCATTTTTGTTCATGGATTTCACGGGTGTCACTGAAGAGGCAATTGCATGGTAACTGCATTTTTAAAACGTGTTCACGTGCAGGATTCTTTGTACCATTATGAAACCAACATGAAATTTCTTCCTTGAATTGTCTGAAGACAGGCACCTACAAGTACATGTATTGTACATACATGTATATATATACAAGATACAGCAAACACAAAAATACATGTACATGTAATCCCCACAGATACATTGTATCATCAAAATGTGGAGATCATATTTTTAAATGTTTATTTTTATGCGATTTGGAAGCCACTTTTCTACAAATGGAGGCGGCTCACAGGCTGCCTGACGCCCTCAGTTCTTGGTCCCCAAGCCCTCCCCCTGGCAAATCAGACCAACATTTCAACCACAATGCAGAGGTGGAAGTCGTCAGTCATGATGCCAGAACATTACACTGCCACATTTGCCATCTCATTCATATACGGCACATGTACCGGTAATTTACATCAAGAAGGGATTTGTGTCGTATAGTTGATTTATTGAGGAGATGGGGCTGAAGAGGTTTGTGTCAAGATCAATGACAGGAATGTACAATGTATTTGAGGAGATATAACAGGCATGCAACTACAAAGTCAGGGGAGAAAGGAAGACAATTCTACGACCCCATTCAGCGTTTTTTGCCATTTGCAGCATTACACGTAAACAGAAAGCTAAGAAATCCGCTGACAAGAGGGAGAGTTGCAGGCCTAACTGAAGAGATTTACATGTACATGTACATGTATGTCAAAAACGATTACTGAAGGAAATGCTGAAGATGGCACATGAGTCAGAATTCATTTAAGAAGGCATTTTGGAAAAGGAACGTCCCAAAAGGGATTTGTCTCATGATGAAAGGATTTGAGGAAGATAGAGTATACAACGTACGTCTGCGTCTCTGTATATTATCACAAAGTTACATGTACCTGTACAGTGTACATACTGTACATGTAGATAAATATGTGTGTGCAGTGAAGAAATTTTTAATAGTGGCGACCTGCAGGATCACGTTTTCGGGTAGATGTTTGTACATGTACATGTCCAGTAGTTCTCAGATAATGTGGTCATCACTCATGTCACCATAATATTGGATAATTTTTCATCGTCACCCTGTCTGCCATACTACTCTCCTTTAACCCTATTAAATCCTGAAGGTGTGTGAAAAATTGTGGAATAATTGGAAGAGTCAGGACTTTAACATGGTTAATCTTGGTGTCTATGACCTTCCTACTGGTTTTACATGTACATGTATCTCCAGACACTCTGCTACATGTACAGTACATATACCTTGCAAACCTCGGTTGAAAAAATAATGCAGCTTTCTTACATGTACATCAGATTCATACACATGTATGTCGTTCTCATTTTCATTTGCTTAAGTCTCTGTTGATTCTTTTCTTGCTGCAGATAAACCTGTGATTTGCAAATAAAAGTAATAATTAAAATGCCGCTAGGTGTTATTACTGATGACTGTACATGTAACGGTACAGGTCAACACTTGATATTCGCGTATTGAATCATACAAAGTGCAGGTACATGTAACTCTACCAGACATTTTCCTTACGATACTCGAGTATCGGTTACGGTGTAAATGCATGATTTCAAATTTGACACTGAATCGTTGTCGGAAATCACACCCTGTGGAATGATGCATATTTGCCATCCATTTCTGTACGTGTACTTAGCCCAAGAGTGTGCCCTGATCCAGTTACATACATGTACATGTACGTATTTTACACTTGACATGTTTGAGTGGCAGTATGGGTGCATGGTACTCCTCTAATGTCTCTCACCTTGTAATGAACTGTGGTTCAAGTCCCCTCAAGGATACCTTCAGGATTACTTGGGATGTTGCTGGATGTACACTGACATGACTGATGCATTGTTTACATCAGTCACTTGTCAGAGTTTTCACTCCAGTATCAGAATAATAAATGCCATTTAACACTGTGTGACAAGTTGTTTGGATCATACATGTACGTTGTGTGATGTTTTCCCCTTGTGTGAAAGGGCATGAAAATTGTTTTCCCACTTTTGTGAAAAAGTGCGGAAACATTTTCCCACTCGTGTGAAAAGGTGTGAAGTTTTGTCCTCACTTTTGTTAGAAGGCATGAAAATCTTTTCTCACTCGTGTGACAAGGCGTCAAATATTTGCCCACAAAGCTTTACACAGTGTGAGAAAATGTTTTCACATTTCGTGAAATGAAACTGACTTCCCTGGGAAGGGAAAGTGTGAAAAGAATTTCCGCTTCCCACTTCAGTTGCAATGCACAAAACAATGGACATGTATAAAATTACATGGAGTTCATTTTTTTAATTGGATTCTGCACCTACCGCTATGTACATGTACATGTATGTTGGAGACAATAAGAAGCAGTTATAGTTTTAGAGGTGGGAGGAAAACCCCAGAGGAATAATCTAGGTAAAACCCACAGAGTCAGGTAGAGACTGAAAACCCAATCCACATATGGACCAGGCCGGGAATCGAACCCGGGACCAAAGATGTGGAAGGCAAGGAAAGAGCTACATGTACGGTACCTTGCCAACCCGACTCCCTATGTATACACAGATACAAGTATACAAGTACAATGAACATGTACCTGTATGTACATGTAAATATAACTTGCAGTTTTTGAATCCAACAGCTTCACAGAGCTCTTCAAATGTTACAAAAAGTAAAACACCTGTATAAATATGGGATTGAGTATGGAATCCGTAACGTAAAAATAAGCCTACTTGAAGCAACTGGAATTTCTTGTCTGTCAATGGAATTTTCAGTGAATAGTGAAGCAGCAATGTCTGCTCGTTTATGCAGTTGAGGTGTGGCCCTCATGGGAAAAGTGGCATATTGAAAGACAAAACTGACAGTACTGTATACATACGGCTCACCCAAGTCCAACAAATAATGTTTTAATGAGGATAATTTGACAGATCAGATAAATTACATGTACATGTATATATGCACATGTACATGTGTACTCAAATTTTCCTCTACTGTACATGTATTGATATGGCATAAATGTACTGTACACGTACAGTATGTACATGTATACATGTACTGCCATATTCCAAGTGAGGTCCGAGACTTGCAAAAACAAATCATACTGGTAAGCTTGCTCAGGCAGGATTCGAACTTAGAACTTCCTGTTTACTAGTGCAGGCCTCTTGACTACTCGACCACCAAGTTTTGCCTGGTATCCATATGATGCAAGATATGTGGCAATGGGGGAGCCCCTCTATTGGATCTTGTTTTGTGTTGATGGAATCTTTGGAATTCCTTTCATATTTCTGAGGGGGGTGCAGTAGGCACAACAGCCATAGGGTATACAGTGTGTGCATCACATTAGGGGAGTCCCCTTTCCAACATATCGTGCCGTATCCGAAATTGGGTAGCTACATGTAGCTCGAATCCAAAGCAGCAGTGGATACCACGAGTACAGGTATTCAGTGATACATCAATTTAGCTTTGTGTCGGAACGAGTGTTTCTACATGCCTTTGGTTCTGGGGCTGTGCCAAATATCTGAATATTCAATCGATTATTGAATATTGGAATATCATTTTCTGCATTTGAATATTTGAATGAAAAGTTCATGAAAAGGAAAGGAGAATTTTCTTTTGTTTTAAATGAGAAAAACTGCAATGCACCATGGAGCCTTGTTTCAAGCAGATTCAAATAAAAAGTGACAGAGATCTTATGACTCAAAAAGTTAATTTACAATGTACAGTTTAAAAATTTAAAAGGAAAAGAAATTTTCGACAGGGCAAGAAGTATCATTCATCTCTTCAATCTTGCTAAATCATGGCTGGAGATACTCCTAGATGTGAGAAGCTATTTTACTGATTATAATGTACATTGTGTGCATTAGTGCAACTGATTTTGTGTATGGTTTAATCATCAACAATCTAATCGAATAGTGAAATACTCGAATTGACTCAGCCCTACCTTTTGGTGGGAACTCACTGGGCTGAGTACGAAGCATTGATTCCTGTTGAAATTTAGAATCTTTTTGCATGCACTGGGTTCAAAGTTATAATTTTTTCCCAGCAACTTGTCTTTTCTTTGTCTGTAAGGGGGGACTTACATGTACGAGTACATGTATGTAGCTAACCAGGACTAAGAGACATACTGTACATGTACATACCTGGTACACACAGTACGTACATTGTACACCACATACATCTGTACCTGCACTGATGGAATAATTCTAAATCCACTTGCCTGAATTTCAAATATGTATCAGATTCTTCCAAATTAAATACCATCCTGCATGAGTGCATACGTGTATGACCACCTGCAGACCTGATAACTTCCACAAGAAATAATGTGCATCCAGTGTGATACCGTACAGTGTACACTGTACATCTACATACATGTATCTTCAGCTGAAAATATGAACTTTTAAAACAAGACATCACAATTATCTTCTACAAAGTACACGTACATGTAGGACCTTGGCTGATCCTTGGTGGTCACTTTGCTAGGGTTTATTCTAGATTTCTCACTGCATCCTTGAATGAGTTTGAGACTGGATTTAGCTAAAGGCCGAAGCATCTGTCTCTCTTCTAGCAGAAGCTCACACCATTCTGTCTGGATTTCTGTTTTCGTGAGTGAAGTGAACACCACAGTACATTATACATGTAATTAAAAGTTTGATGAAACTCTGTGAACATGGTGGACAGGGAAGGGAAATTTTTTTAAAAGAATTCACTTTCGCACTCACATTCACAAGGCATGAAAATACCGGTAAAATCTGGTAGGAAATCCTACCAGACAAAGTTTCCCCTTACCAAGATCTCCCCGTAGTGTCCGTACTGTCTCTTCAAGCCTGGCTTGCTGGGAGGCCTGACTTCTCCTTTCCTTCTGGATTCGCGCCCCCTCCTCACGCAGCTCTGAGCAGTCGCTGGACAGGATCTGAACCTGACAAGTCAAAATAAATGTGACACTTTAGAGATGGAAAGGTGTTTCCTTCAAGCTGGCCACTTTATAGTTGGAAATTTAAACTTTGGATGTTTAACATCTGAGATTGTTCACAGCTTGCTGTGTAGCTTACACTGTGTGTTACATGTATTTATTACAAAGGACGATAGAGTTTGTGACATGCCCAGTGAAACTGTATCCATACAGCATGTCCAGTGTGATTCTCTTTGTACATGTAGTTCATATAATTACAAATACACGAACACATTTGTTCAGATATCTGCCAACCTTTACAAACTCATTTCAGTAATTTAGAAAGCTAATGTATATACATTGATGTACATTCATTTGTACATGTACGTAAAAAGTAGTCATTTATCACTTACATCCATAGTTTTCATGATAGTGAGGTTTTCTCTTAGATTCCGTTTTTCTTGACTTTTCATGGTGGGTGCATGATCTCATAATTATTCCAATTACTGCACTTCTACCAAGTAATACGTTTGCATACATGGTGCATGTATACATGTACATGTAGGTGCATATGCCCACTGTGCATACATATACCGTATGTAATCATGAGTTCACAGTTGCTCACTTCGCACACCATATACAAAATGTACAGTGAGTACATGTACAGTACAATATGAAAGTATGTACTCGCGAGGAAATGAATAATTCACTGTTCAACTATTCGACCTTTAATTCCATCGAATATCCGACTATTCGGTCTTACCGACTGGGAGATTGTTGATGAACAAACCATACACAAAATCAGTTGCAATAACGTACACAATGTACATTGTAATCACTATAGTAGCTTCTCACATCTAGGAGTATCTCCAGCCACGATTTACAGCAAGATTGAAAAGATGAACGAGACTTCTTGCCCTCACAAATAAATTGACTCCCCCCAAAAAGGAATCAAATCAGACCAGACCGGATCAAGCTACTGGTAGATGAGCAGATTTTCTATTTGTATGGCTTTACCTTGTCTGGGTGTGTGTGTCATTGTACGGACCTACATGTACAGTACATGTAATAGCCACCAGGCACAGCAAAAGCAGGAAGTTTGACAACTTTGCGTTTGAGAGCCTAAATGAGGTAAAGATTTGGGCTGTATTCCCAAGACCCCAGTGAGCAGTTTTGTGTTCTTCAACCACATCAAGGAGATTTCGCATCCCTCACATTAACATACGACTGTAGCTATTTCCTTTAACCCTTTAACGGTGGACTATCATTTTCCTGTATTATAAAAAAGCTGCTCTGATTTCAATTAAATCGTTGGAAGAAAAGCTGAGTTCGGTAGATTTTAGTAGATTTCTTGATTTGGCATGATCCAAACTACATGTATACCTGAAGATTAGATTGATGTTTGAAGATTGAATTGTTGCTTGAAGAAAAAGATCACAATGGAAGGTTGAAGAATAGACACATTTGATGTTGGAAAGAATTGGATATTTATGATGAGAGTTTGCGGTATTACGTGAAAAGGGTACATGTATGTGTGTAGCTGTGTGTTTGTACTGTAGACAAAAGAAGTTTCATCAAGTACAAGCAGAACATGGACTAGATGCAGGCACAAGCATGTGACATGTGTGACGTCATTCCAGTGTTCGTATTGGATGAGCAATGATCAAGAGGCAACACACTTATTGCTTTGTTGAATAACGGAACGTGGACACTTTCTTTTCTTTGCACTCAACACAAGGATTTAACCCTAAGGCTGTTAAGGGATGGAATGCCAGAATTTGCTTGCTTTTTTCAAAACAAAAAGAACAACATGTACATGTATGTAATACATGTACATGTATGCATGTCATCTGGACAGTTGTGAATACATGCACGCATGTACATGTATTGTACCAGTACATGTCCGCGTGTGTATATATAATGACAGGTGCATTCATGACTGTATCTTGATAAGTGCTTTTAGCACTCTGCTCTCACAGTCTCATAAATTGAGAGGTACACGATGGAAATTTCAAGTTTTGAAAGAGGAAGATACATGTACATGTACACTGTATCTGCTTCTTATTGTCTCCTCTCAACAGATGTACATGTACAGTAGGTGGATGCGGGTTGTTTGGCTCTGTCTGAGGCACCCTCGTATGCCCTTTGCTCAATCCCGTTCAATGTCTTCATTGTACAGCGCATTTGAACACACTACTAGTAGTATCTGTATTGGAAATTTGCGCTTTATAAATGAATAAACTACATGTATGTATATGTGTGGCACCATATGAAGAGGAGGCCATGTGTGTTTAATAAACCACCTAGAGGCAAGATAACACTGAAGCAACGTAACAGCTTGCAGTGAGATACATGTATGTCAAAGCAGCTACATCCTGAAGAACAGTCGCTTCAATGCCGAAACAAAATATTTTCATTTCTCCTGGCACAGCTCCTGGTACCTACATGTATACAATCTACACATGCACGCTTCCGTAATAACAATGTGCCGGGTACCTAAGACATTTCGCTGACAAAGAACAAAATCTGGCTTTCTCTTTACTTCGTCTTCCAAAACGACAATTCATGCACTGACTCAATAAACTGCGGTTGATTCTATCCAAAGGCATTTCACCATAGGGGCAGTGAAAAAAGGCTGAAAAGAGTGGCAAAGAAATGAATTTGAGTACAGCACTGGCAAAGTGAGGTGTACATGTACACTACTGTATACCATCGGTATGTATGTAGTTCAATGCATTGTGTATCACATGTACATGTACATCTTTCAAGCTTATAGACTTATCAATGCTTGCTAATGAGCACTCTTGCACAAAAAACAGGTACATCTTTTTTGTGCATCAGCCAACGGCAAATCAAGTACCATTTGGGAGGCATCCTGTTTGTTTCATTTTGAGGGGAAGGGAATTTCAAGGATTTCTCTATGTGCTATGTTTGCAGGGTGACCTTTCATAACCATTCTGACGGGTGATGAGACTCAATTCAGGGGCTTTTAACACATTTTGGGAAGCAGAGAAATGAAAGAGTCCATCAAAAACTGCCTTATCTCCTCATTGTATTTTGATGTCAATTATAATCTTACATGTACGGTGGGTACATGTATTTTCATCAGTATAGAATTTCATGAAAGTTAATCACTTTAAAAGTGCAACACAGTCCCTCCCAGCGAGTCTCAACCAGTCCCAACCTCCCCTTAATTCAGAGTATTTGCACAGTCTGGACCAGAAATAGAAACAGGTACGTGTACATGTACATGTGGGTGTCAGAGGAGAGAGTGTGAAGTCCATAGGAACTCCTTCTGGGACCAGTCAAATGCGTGTTTATGGCAAGCCCAACAGCTTCAAAAAGAATTGTTATTCTTTTTCTCCCCCAGAAAAATGTTTGGTGCAACTTTACCACTGCTGAGCTGCACGTCCTAACGAATTGAAAGCATAATAGTGCACGAAAGCTCCCTTTGGGCAATAAACAACCAGGAACAGGGTACGATTCCCCTGTATTTTTCTCCAATGGAACATATAAATGTACCGATATGGAGGATGTACTGATGTACAGTGTATTAACCTTATCAGATGTAAAGCCACTGAAATCATTAAAGTCACTTGATCTACATCAAGTGACTTCAAGAGCTTATTTTGGGACAATTTTGCCTGGTTTATTTACATCAAAACTGAAATTTCAAGCCTATAGTTCAAGTGTTGCTTTCCTGTTTCCCTCAGGGAGAAATATGTCAGTACACTTAAATGTAACTTGGTGTAAATCATGCACATAAAAATCTGTGACAATCTGACCAAGCATAATCTTTCACCTTGAAGAAAGAAAAAAATTCTTGGGGAAACTGCAAACATGCAGGAATTTTTTTATGCTATGGGCCAAACGACTGCATACATGTACAAACCTTGTTACTGCAAACCTGGTTCTGGCACATACATGTACATGTATATGTACACAGTAGATTAGTCAATAACGGAGATTACTATTGTACCAGTTGGAATGCCTTCATCTTGTATCAGCATCCTAGATCTACAGAATAAATTTCATGATTTCATTTTATGTATCAGTGCATTCAAAATTCACCTACTTGTACAGTAGGTCTACATGTAGATTTTGTTTTCTAGGTTTGCCCTTGAAACCTTTTTGTGGGGAAAGCATACTGTACAGTATCACATTCAAAAGAGACCATATTTGATACAACTGCATGTACCCTGTTCTCTTTTTCAGCCCAGAACACAAACATTTCTTGTCCCATCATGATCATTTTGAGATCCTTGGGATAACCCTGAGCTTCTTGTGTTTTAATTTCAAGAAAATAAGACAGTTTTGAAAAACATCTCATTTCACTCCGTACTGGAACAAGAGATGGCATACATGTACATGTATACCGTATTCACACAGCCATGGCATTTCATTTGTTGCTGCCATGGGCATTCAGAGCCTCAAACTGGCAGCTTGTATCATTGCATCAGAATCGCGTCAGCGCAGCTTTTTGAAATATTGTTCCATCACATGGTATAAGAACCAAGCAGCACATGCAAAATTACTAAGCAGCATACTCGCAAATCAATGAACCAGCTACTGTATATTTAGTGTGTAAAGCTACATGTACCAGATCGAGGCTCTGCATGCCTATGGTGGCAGCGTGCAAAAGAGCAAATTCTGGTGGGGTCTCATCACTGCGTGTGTGTGCAAAGGGGTTTATGCCCATTCAGCACGTGACGTGCTGAGCATGCACGCTATAACTCCTTTTTGTTGGGAGTATACGGCTACATGTATACGGTCTTCGCATGTACAATAGGTACACGCATGATCACAGTAAAAAAAAACAAAACCTCCCCACCAGCCTGTCCCTTCTTTGCCAGTGAGGAGACACCAACACAATGCCAACTCATTAGGGTCATTTGAACAATATTTGTGCTGTGTTTATTTCAACACTCCTGGCAGTGCCCAGGGAGTGATACCAAATAGCCTTACACAGCTACATGTATGACAGTGGCTAAGATCAGGTTTAACACACTGTCTGCCCCCATAGACTTCTCAGACTTTGTCCATGGGTACATGTACAAAACAAACTTGGGGGATTACATATTATGTTGAAATGTCAGCAGCAGGTACTGTGCTTGGCCATCCAACCCATCATTCAGCCATGCATGATCATGTCCGTACGTGCTCCTGCGTGATACTAGAGCCATTCTATAAATTTGGGCTCCAACACTTTTTTTATATCCAAGTCACATCTGATACACCCTGTACATGATTTTGTAAGAACTCATAAAGTAAACCTGCCAATCAAATGAAATTAGTTTGAAGGTCGTTTCAATGATGTATGAATGTATGTACATGTACGTCCATGTCAGATGACGTCGGTCAGGTGAAACAGGAACACCAAAGTGTCAAAGTTTTGGACATGAATTTATAGGATGAGCAACCACATAAACTCCTTGTATCCCTGGGTGGGTGAGACAGCTTGGATAGATTTCTCTTATACCTCTTGCCTCTCGCTTTCCACAAGCTCTTCCATCTCCCTGACGCGCTCCAGCAAGGCACCATGGGAGTCCTCCAGGCTCCGGCGAAGGCTGCCCTCTCTAGCCAACTCCTCTCGCAACTAGAAAGCCAAAAATGGCACGGGACTATCAAGCATGGCACTCACCGTGATCATTGGACACCCTGAGCAAAGTTAAGATTTTTGCCTGTTAACATGTTAAGCAAAGAAATTGAAATACAGGTACAGCTGTATTGTAATCGAATTGGTTAAATCCAGACTAGAACAACATGCACATTTTGAAACTCCAAACAAAATACATGTATCTCAACTCACACCTTCATTCTAGCCTTAAGGCCGGGTCATACTAGAGGGGAATGTGAAAGCAAAGTGAATTGGACGTCACAAAGGATCTGCAACAACATACAAAGTGCAACAAAATTTCGCTGAAGATTAAACGTGTTCAACTTTTGTTGAATTCGCCATGTTCACAATGTGACTACCGGTATTTGATCTACGGTAACCTCATGAATAAACTCACGTTTGTGTTCACTTTTGTGCCAAGTACCGGTACATGTACATGTATGAACCAGCCTTTACGTAGACAAAAAAGTGCACACACAATCGACAATGTTGCTTTCGAACAGAAATACTATGCCATTGCAACAAAATATACCACAAATTCCAGTCAGAAATACCCACTTGTCTGATGTCCATGGGCGGTATTAAATGTATATACATGTACATGTATAAGAATTGAAAATAATTGTACATGTACATGTACTACAAAATTGAATTGTTTAACCCTAACCTTCCCTAACCACACAGAATTGAACACCAGTAACACAAAGTGTGTGAATTTGTGGCACTGGTTACTGTGCCCCTAAACTGCTTGTGCTTTAACATGGGTTCAGGCATACCCAAAATAAAGTCCAACAGCTTTTGTGCACAGTTTACCATATGGTGTTGGAATTTGTGTGAATGGGTATGGCTCCTAGTAAATCACTCTTGGGGAGTTAGGGTTAATAAACTGCAAACATGTAGGACCAGCTGTATATGTTTGGGTAGATGTATGTTCGAGGATATTTCATAAGTTTGTTTTCAGCCCCAAATCGAGCATGTGCAACCTCTTGTATGAAGTTGTCTTAAATTTACATGTTGCAATTGACGCAAAAAGCCTTAATGTGATTTAAAAAGCTAATACTAAGGAAATGGTTTCAGGGAAAACATTCAACTACCTGTTGGTATGAAATCCATTGAATCAATAGCAGCCCAACCTCCATCCCTCCATCCCCCAACATGTCCAAGTGGAAAACTTTTAGCATACATGTACATACAAATATATTTTAAAAACATGTAACGTATGCTTTAAGCTTTCTGCTCAGTAATGTTTCAAGTATTAAATGCATGCACAGACTACTCCATCTTTTTAAATGACAGGACAAATTATGCATGTATATTACAAGTTTGATGCAGGGAAGAGGCCAGTTACTCTCAACATGTACATGTGCATTGTAGGCTTACAGTCATTCATACATGTAACTCTGAAGTTATTATTATATGCAGGTCTCCCACGGAAATGCCACGCAAAAATTACATACATGTACATTTAAGCCATCAAATAGGTCACGTTTTCACTATTAAAAAAAATGAGTCATGCTTTTCCATATACTCTGATGAAATCTTGGATGGATTTTAAAAGAAAGAATCAAGTGATCAACTGACTGTCCTCAAATCCTACACAGAAGCAGTTCGTGTACATCTACATGTACAGTGTACATGTATTGTACTGGTAGCTTTATGCAACGTGAAAAAAAAATAGACAACAAGCCAAAACCAGCACTACCATACATGTACATGCATGTGAACCTTTGCACACAATCAGATCACTAGCAGCCAGCAATGGTCACATTGATGGATCATTCCAGCTAACTTAAGGTGGAAGATGAGCCATGGGACAAGAGAACAAAATAAGTATACATGTACATGTGTACATGTAACTTCATAATGAAATCATATCCGAATACAGTGTGAACTTTGGGACTCTGTCGTTCATTCCCCAAGAGCCCGGAAGAGCTTCTCATTAAAAAAAAAAAAAAGCTAAATAAAGGGAGATAATTGGCCAAAACCAGCAAACTCAAACCTCAAGGGTATAGTGGGATGGTTTTTCTTCGGTCATTAAACCCAACTGGTACACCTGTACACTATGGGCAGAATGAGGCATCAAAGATTTCTCTGACACAAAGTGTTTGCAATTACTGCTCACACATTCACTGTCTGACTGTACAGATGCTTCAATATGCATGACGCTTTCATTGACTGTACATGTACATGAACATGCATACATGTACATGTATCATTTTGTTTGTTTGGGGTTTGGGTTTTCTGTTTGGGTTTTTTTGATGCATTTCATGGATTCCCTCTTATCCCCTTTGGATTTCTTGAAGACACCTTACTGTCATGACTGACTGACTGCAATATCATCCAACAGCTGAATGTATACCGGTATGTGTCCCTGGTGAATGCAATTCAACATACCAGTACATGTACATACATTTACAAGGCATATTGGTACATGTACTGTACATGTACATGTACATGTACATGTATGTGTACACCGAGTATGAAATGGCCATTATTAAACCGTACATGTCATGCATGTACAAGTACATGTACGTTGTACATGTGATTTGTGAAAAGACTACTGGGATGTACATTTACAGACCTGCATGTACATACATGTATATGTACATTGTACATGTAAAATACACGTACATTGTGTACATGTAGTCTCAAATGGTTTTGACATCATGGATGAGTAGACATCACTTTTTAGAAGCCCCAAGTTGATATTTTCAGTCTCTGTTATGTAGCATTTACTTCCATACTGACATACGAGTACATTATTCCCCGGTGTAGTATTGAAAGGCATGTAACATAAAAGTAATAATGGATAATTATCGCGCCGTTTCCATACATACATGTTCAAAAGCACAGACATGTACATGCAGATCCCTGGTGAATGCATGCAATTAATAAACAATGTCATAGTAAATAAAGTACAATATGTTAGTCTTAGAGAGAATAAGTGCTTAAGAATACCAGTATCGATCAGTCACATCAAAACGTCGGAGTTTTCTTGCCGTTCCAGTCTAACCCAAACCCCTTTTTTTACCCACATCATACTGGTACAGGCTTCAAAGATCGCCCAAGGGGAGTGTTTTCACTGGATTACTCTACCGTAGTGCTTTCTTTTTATAATAAATGCATGCAATTCATGTACAGTTACAAATCCATTCTGGTAAAACAGTACATGTATATCTGCATGTATGTATTTCCAGAAAAAAAGATCAAGAGCACTCCGACAGTGCATTGTGCAAGTTTACAGTTTATGAACACTATTACTTGTGATTGAGTGGGCTGCAATATTGTGCTGGACAAACTAGAAGCATGAATTAAACACACAAAAAACAAGAAATTTGCGCACTTTGCTGAAATTGATTGCAAGGGGCAATCCACTGTTCCCAAGTGCCGACAAACACGGGGCCGGACCACTCAAAGGAGACCGGCTTTGGTAATAGGTAGTTGTGATGTAATCAGCTGTGAATGATTAATGAAATGTTCTTGTACACATACATGGGTAAACAAATCAATTTCTCTCACCAATTACTTCTAAAAGACAAACTCATGCATGTACATGTATGGTACCTGCACCTACACACCTGTCATTTTGCGAAATTCAGAGATTCAAATATGATCACAGGCCTTTGGGTCTCAGTGTTTATCATTGGTCATTGCTGCTTACCTCCGAGTTCCTTTTGTTAATCTTCTGTTTACTTGACATCAAATCCTCGTAAGCTACCGCCAGTTCGGACTGTTGATGTGTACAAAGAGAAAAAAAAATGAAAATAACAATGCAATGTAAGGATCTGTCAGAAGTACCAATACACGTACATGTATATGTACATGTACACCTCCAGTTAAAATCCAGTTGATTTTGTGATAGGTCGCATGTATTGGTACACTATACCCAAATGGAGTGATACATACAGTGCGCATGTACATACATGTACAAGTTCAGGTAGTTACATGTACGTACACGTATCTTGGGGACAACTTTTTGTTCCCACAAGTTGGTCCAGAATTTGCTTACAGACATGACAGAGAGATATAAAAATGATGCCCCAAAACAGGACCAGCCAGGGTCAACATTTTCTGCATACATGTACATGTACCGGTGTGTACATGCTACATGTACATACCGGTACATGTATATGCACATGTGCAATCGTTTCTTGGGCCTATATACCACATACTGTAGTAACTGGTACTGTACAAGTACATGTATCGGTGGGCCTACGTGTACACGTACATACTGCATCAGATTTCCATCAATCAATTGGTTTAGGCAGAATTCCCGGTGCCGGTGCATGTACATGTAGTTTTGAGAGTCAAATTTATGAAACAAGACATCACTTAAACTCAAATGCTGCCTTCAAAATCATTCACTGATCATAAAGCCCAGAGGGCAATGATTGCGAGATCAACTTTACCAAATCGAAGTAGGGGAGGGGGTTGGGAGAGGGGACAAGGGTTGAAACAAAAACCCTGACAGAGGACCACAGAGAGCCTGGACATGCTGGAAATGGCTGTTCTTTCTAAGTAAAGGCCACACATACTACATATACTCCAGGTTTGCCCACTCCCAAGATGAACATTTTTAAACTGATACTGTAAATGTACTCTTTGTTGCTTTCTGACATGTCTGAGCCCGTATTTCCATTATGGTCAATGTTTTGAAAGGATGAACTTGCAAATTAGTCACCACTGTTTAAAGATTTAAATGCAAGAAAATGGGGGCTTTCAATTTTTGGACGCAAAAATGATCTGTCCCAGACTATTTCTGCCTCTCCTCGGGACAGGTGGCTGATGAGACATTGGCTGACACCATGGAAGTAATGTGAATACTCCCCCAGTTAACTGGGCGTAAGCAACACATCCGATTCATTTACACCACTGCCGGCTCTGTCAATTAACACTTTGCACTCTAGTGTTTCATTCAATTTACCAATAGATTCAATCGCAGATATCATAATTATCTTGATTAGGTTAAGATTGAATTACAATCTCTCAACACATGGAGGCAATGGGGTGACCATGCAATTATTTTAAAAACAAAACCTCTATTTTAAAACAATTCTTCATTACACAGCTGGGAATATCTACAAGTCATCTATACTGCCATGGTGTTCTCAAATGTCACTGACTTGGACAGATCATTTTACTTGATTCTGATGTGGAAAAAAGTAAGCTGGACAGCATTTTTGTCAATTAACAAATCTGGACGTCTTTGAAGCACATCCTAGCTAGTGGCCACACCTCAATATTTTGGAAGGGAGATCAAATTTGCCCTTCCAACATACATGTAACTAATGATCATTCACAACATGTATAAAATGGGATCAATATACGGTACATGCACATGGGGGGGGCATGTGGCCTAGTGGTTTGGGTTTGTAGCTTCTGATCATTGGGACGGGGTTCGAATCCAGTTGGTAGCACCATGTGATCTTGGGCAAGTCTCCTTACCCCTGCAGTGTACATCCATGTGTCTCTCGCCACACAGGAGTAAATGGGTACCTACCGGTACCTGTATGAGGACAGACACGGTTATGTTCAGCCGTTTGCACTAAAATGGCAACATCAGGCTAGTGCATGTATACTCCCCAGGGAGCTGAGAAAGTGAGATGGTTTAAGGAATGTTCAGAAGATGAGTGTGCCCAATGTGCAGGGATGACATAAATCTGCACCTCTGAATAGGACTTCCCAGATACAGTACTGTCATGACTGTGGGCATTATAAATGCTCTGATTATTATTCTCATTTTGTACCAGTAAATGTATAAAAAAGCAGCATGAAAAACTACAGCAGTTGGCGAGCAAAAAGTTACAATCAAAAGCCCAGGTGCAATACTGAAGTGTGATGCTGAACACACTGAGACTTTACAGCACTGGTAAGCATTATACTGATTACAATATAAAGTAATGATTACATGTACATGTACTTCACTGATTTGAAAAGCTACATGTGCACGTTTCACTGTCAAAGCTGATATACTAGGGGATTCTCCCCAACACGCACACAAAGGGAGAGCGGAACAGAAATGAAAAGTACAAAATCAGTTAATACATGTACATGTATGTACATGTAATTTGGACGACACTTTTCAAGAGGAACGATGAAAGAGAAGGACTAAGTGGTACATGTATGTGTACATGTACATGTAGCTTGGGATATCGGCAGCATTTATTGTTTAAATACATTTTAATAGAGGTCGCCGATATCCAATGGGAGAATGTGTTTCCCCCCATTATCACATTTCTACAGGACGTACATGTTGTCGCCATAGTTACATGTACCTTGGCAGTGGTTGCTTCCTCCAGGGCAATGCTCAACCTCCTCGCCTCCTCGTCTGCCTCGTTCCGCTGCTCCAACACCTCTTTCCACTCTGTGCGCGTCCGGACCAGCTCCTTGTTCAGTTTCCGCACCTCGTCTTCGTGGGCCTCCCTGTGACGCATCAAGCTCTCTTCGTTCAACGCTGTTGCCGCAGCCAAAGCCGCCCCTTCCCGCCCAAGGTCCCTCTCGGCCTGCAAGGCACACAGGTTGAGCTTCAGGGTCTGCAGTTGGCTCTCCGTCCGGCAAAGCCGCCCAACCAGTGCCTCATAGTGCTTCCGGAGTGCTTCATTGTCTGCCGTGGAGGGTAAGAACGGGGCCACTGGCTCAGCAGAGTCCTTGTTCTTTGACTGAGGGTTGCTATCCGTCGGAAAGCCCAGGTCGGCGAGTTGGCGGACGAGATTCGCGGTCTCGGCCTCTGCCGTGTTCAGCTTCTTCTGGAGAAGAGAGAGAGCTTGTGCTGTTGGGGACTTTCCAGCAGGACGGGAAGGTGGCATGACTGGACGCGGCTGTCGTGACATCTTTCTTTCCAGACGATGCACCTCACATCAAAAGTTCAAAGCAAACTTCTGCAAATGGAGGTAAAAGCATCACTCAAAAAGAACACCACACACGGCCATCACTCTTTTCAAGTGTCAAATAAACACCAGCAGGTTTATCCTACTTTCCAAACCTATTCCCCAAGATACTGAACCCCTTTCCCTGCTAATATTTGCCAACAAAATTCACAGGTGTCACCTTTCTTTTAACAGGTTTTGTCACAATGTGTGAGAATCCAAATTGAAATCACACAAATCAACCTCATCAATTGAAAATGCTGAAGTGCATATACATGTATACATGTACAACCAGATGAAGATTGGTGGTGGAAAAATTTCAAGGTCCCCTGAAACACAGCCTGGTTTCATTGCCAAGCTGGTACAAAGCAAAACATATGGTATCAGGGAACTATTTAACTGGTAACATTTAAATTACTCAGCTTTTGTAGAACATAGTCTCAACATGGAGTACTAACAGGGACACCAGCTTAAATAGAAAATAGCAATCTTTACAGATACCATACTTTTACGGACCTGCACATGTACGTACATGTACATGTGTATCATGTGTTTTCAACTTCCAACTTCGGATTTGCAAGCAACACTCTCCCCAAAATGACTCCTCAATCCTTCAGTTAATAGGAGGCAGACTTCCCACTTGAGGCTGTCAAGAACTGTTTGCAGCCTTTGACTTTAGAACTGAAAAACAAACTGAGATGAAACCAAAATGCATCGTTGTCCTGAACAATAGATATACATGTACATCTGCATGTACTGCCCTCATATGTAAGTTATCGGATGAACCTTGTCCCCATTTCTGGAACAGTTCAAAAGCTCTTCTGCCCCGGGGAAGTTTCTGATGGTTTGGTGTACTCACACAATTCATATCATTCTCATGACTGTCACACATGTAGATCTAGCAGACCATGGAGGACGGAAGACATGTACTTGTAATGATAATAATAAAATTTAGAATTTATAGTGCGCCCTTTCCACCGAAGTGATCAAAGGCGCATTACACTTGTACATGTTTCACAGGTACATGTACATCATGACATCATTACTCCGAAAGTTACAATGAAAAAGATCTTGAATGTACATGTATACAATTATACCGCTACATGTAGTTTGCATGTAGAGAGAGTAGCAACAGCTTCCAATTTTGGAAACAAAATGGCTGTTCATTATCATTAGGTATACAGTACATGTTGAGTGTGCAGCTACAAGTATACTCTAATGTCTATGGGTGGGCAAACTGCAATAATGCATGTACAACACATGTACGTGTATACATGTACATGTACGTAGGTAAAATGTACATGTACCTGCCACCGTTTCCAACAATGGTGACTCCTCATGTCAAAACTCTCTATACATGTACGGGTCATGCTATTCAGCGTCAACAAATGTCAACAAATTACTAAAGCATATTTATGCCAAAATTTTATATTAATGATATTAACCGGGCTCCTACATTATTGTAATAATATATAGGCCCATATCAATCTTCCATGTATAATATTTGCCTAAAATGATATTTAAACTGAACAATCCCCATTCATTTGTATTCACGCCTGGTACTCTGTTCTCCATGTACATCATACATTGTGTAGCCTACCACATGTCCACATCACATACATGTACCCCCCCCCGCTAAAAAGGGCCTAAAATTACAACTTGGCCTACTCATTCCGAGTTCTCCACGCATGTATCACTCAGCTAGGACTACACCATGATGATGAATGTATACATGTTACTGTGCGTCAAGTTCCAGACTACAAGTACAAGCTAGCAGTCACATTCACCATGTTCACACCATGGTCACGGAGAAGGGGTTTTTCCCTCCCTCATGGTGACACCGTCACAGAGACGCTCACAGCCACACTGTCCCAGTCACACCAGACAGTATGCACACACCTGCACACGTACACGGTCGCACTTCACTTGTTAGAAATTTACAACGCTTTACAGAGGCCTACCGCATAAATATGAATGGTTCAAAACAAAACACATTGAATTCTTCGACTCTGCTGAATGAATCTGTTATCTCGAGGATGACATACAATGATACATGTACGGCGTTGTTTGTAATTCAGCAAGCTGTCAAAATGTAGATCCATGGGTAGTCGCCATTTTAATTTGAATAATCCGCTTTGCGCATGCGCTCTATTTAGACGCAGTATTTTTTATAAGGGTCTGCTCCGTCGTTGTGGGATTTTTACTCTTGTAGAGTAAGTAGGACTAGGCCTACCTGTATATAGAACCTGTGTGATTACCGAGGAGCAAACGGGTGACACTGAAATATGTAGAGACTTCAATTATTTTGTTAAGTGATATATCATCTTCAATTATTATGTGACGTTTATTTCAAGTGATTTTCTGAGTGTAAAATTTGAGCGATTGAAGTATACGCAAACAGCGGTGCCGCTCGAACAGACAGACTGGCCGCGATATTGTTTGTATACCACCGATGAGAAAACACAGATAGCTAACTCCACTCTAAATGAAAGCAATATCATAGGTTTTCCTCTGGACATCTGGTTGTGACTTTACTATTTTTCTCATATGACAGGAGATGTGAGAGTCTCCTCATCGGCGAAGGTCCTATTGAAGTTTTGGAGTGCATTTTCAGGTTGTTGACTCTATTCTGAGGCAGATCGTATTTGCTAGCGCTTGTTGACGGTGCATGGCACAATCATGAAGTTGGACCTGTCAATTCGAAAGGGTCTGGGTGGTCTCTGAGTCAAATGGGACAGGTTAATATTTTGTCATGCAGTCCTCTCATCCGGGGCCAAGCGTTTCGTCTTTCGCTGCCAAGAGACAATTATACATAATTGCGACGGATGATGAAAAATGACCATCCGGTTGCCTGGATTAAAGCTCACCAAATGATGTCATTTCTGGTGCGTCGCCATACTTGACGCTGTGTTCACAAGGCTTCGAGGATTTCCAACTGAAAAGCAAGACGCTTTCAGGTGGACATTAGCTTCGGCTTTCTTGAAACTAATCCTCAGATTACTGGTGCACACACCCTTTTGGCGGTGGGATTGATTTTTCATTATTTTGGTGTAATGAAGCCCCTCCGGTAAGTTGCGAGCGAGGTTGGCAGTCGAATATGCCGGCCTTCTGAGCTGAATAAGGATAATTACACAGCCACGTCTATCACGATCTGGCCGGTCTACGCCTTCAGCCATAAGGCTACTACGGCACAAGTTTTTCACCGTAACCAGCATTGACCACGCATTTTCTCTTCTGGCTGATTCTGCAAAAGCTTGCAAGGTTTGTGGGTATTTTACCGGTAACTTAAAACATACTCAGATATGCAGTTCTCGAGAAAATCGATGCAAGATGAGGCGTTGCCCCATGTGGACGGGTAAGCGCCAACACTTTCGAAACGACTTCAGACCTGACTACGGCTGTAGTTGAAAGCTACATAGTGTGACGGTTACAGTATTTAGGCCTACTTGAAAAAAAAGTGGTTGGACGGATTCATGGGTATATAGGTGGTTGGAAGTTACTGTTTCAAAAATTCGTCACTTCAGAAGAAGCTGTCCTTGTTAATTTCCTCCCTCCATGCGATGTGTACAATGGTCTATTAAAAAAATCACATGAATTTTGTCCGCTTGTGTTTATCGTTCAATATAAAGCCCGGTAAAGCCACTGAAAATGTGTGGTCGTGGAATATGAGACCAAATACTATAGCCATCGGAGAACATGCTAGAGTACTGCTCCAGTGGTCATCACGCGCCTGTTACTTGTTTTGCTGGAGGGGAAGTAAATTCCGACAAACTTAATACGGGAAGCTTCCAAGAGGCTTAAGACTATAGTCTCCTCTCAAGACTGGCAATAAAATCATTTTCCCAGAGGAAAGTACATGCTGTATCCCCAGACACTTGAGTAATTAAAAAAGGTCACGTAACTAAAAAAAAGAACCAAACTCACAAACATTTAACTGACCTATTTCGTGGACGGTTCCGTCGTTAAATTTGTGAAACTACACATTGCTTTTTCGCTTTTTTATATTGGTCTCAACTTGCACTGTTTAAAAACAATGGACGTGTGTTCGCTGCACTTAAAAGTTGGAAGGGGCATTTTAGATACGACGTCAGACTTTATTTTTGTGGATGATGGCTATTTTGCAGTCAGCAGTATTGATGCAGGACATAGGAACCGTCCATAGCCAGCATCGAGGCAACATCTAATACCGAAGAGCAGTAAACTAAGGCTGGGAAGTTTGTACTCCTGCATTTTGTGGACCTGTCGCAGGGTGAAGCCTAAGCGTACTCGGTCGTGAAAAGATGGCTGGCAGTACACGTACATGCATGCTACAAATAATGCAAATGATGCTTAAAATTGGTAATGCCAATGGGATATATGTAAGGTATTCAACAACAAATGTAATTGGCGCAGAAGTGCACACGAATGCGAAAGCGTGACGACAGAACAAAACTCGCGCTGCGACTTTGCAAAAGGTGAACATACATTGTATTTCATCTATTAAAGCGAATTTCGTTGCAAACATTTTGTGACGTCACATTTGCTTCGCTTTCTCCTGAAGTATGGACCCGGCCTTGGCAAGATTGATTTCGGTTGATAGTCGATTGGAAGTTGGCAAATTAGTTCCCGAGGCAAAGCGCAGTTCCAATACTTCAGGGGGCGAATGTCGACTATCTAACCTCAAACTATGTTGTATTTTTTGTAAATATGACATGACAGGAACGCGTGTGCAGCAGTTGAGTGCACCAGAAACACCGAGGGTAGGTTTGAACACTCAGTGTGATAGACTGACGTGAGGAAGACTCGCAAAGAGGTTTCATCCAGAGATCGATGGCCCGTCGTGGTTTATTCTTTCAAACGCAGCCTACCTGAGAACTTAAGAGTCTTGAAGAGGAGCAAACATGTTTTACACGTTGCCGTGGATCTCACATAGTTTTGACAATGAATTTGTTTGAGCCGTCACCGTCTTTGAGGGGGGGTCACTACTGCCCAACGACAACGATAAAAGTAGTTGAACAATTAGAGTTTTCCAAAGGAAGAATACTTGGCATAATGATTAACGACCGCCAAAAATCGAAGGGACAGAATAGTTGTTCTTTCTCTCGATCAATATAGTCATGGCTTTCATTAATTCTCAGCGTTCAAAATCATTATGACCTAAGTACGTTACTCTCAAAATTCCAAAAAGTCAAAATTCTCTTTCAGTCAAGTGAGGTTTTACTCTTTCCAACTGGAACGTTTTTGAGTGTCATTCATCGTTCAGTGACAACCAATTACTCACTCCGATAGGTCGAGATTTCACTCGGTTTTCCCAGGGAAGCGGTTCTTTGTGAAACTATTTAAATCATAACTCAAAGTGATTTTCAATCTTAATCGGCTAGTCCTGAGTTTCTTTCTTCGAAAATAAAGCCTGGTGTTCATATCGAAGTAAAGAGACGAAGACGATACACAGTGGTACGGAAAGACGCGTGACGTAACGTGAACATTGATGCAGACAGTTGGGAAACTTGGATGGGGTTCAACTTTACTGACTGCGCTGACTTGCCATAAACGTTGGCATAACGCGCATACAACGATGTCTTTCTCGGTTAGTACCTCTCAGTTCGCCCATTTTCTCCTTATAACTTATATATGCAGCCCAAATTGTCGATAAACTAGCTGACCATAATACATCAAACTGGGGTACCAGCTTGGTTTCAAGAGGCGGTCTTTCCACCTGAAAAGGCATTCTATGAGAAATGCCATTATGTTCACATTCTTCAGTGGAATAACGTCACGCAGCGTCTCTTCCTCGGCTGTCTCCGTCTTGACGTCTTACGTGCCGTCGGCGTTCGTTACTATCATGCCGACTACAATACCATTAGGCCGGCATGGCGTCAATCAGCATATTATGGTAAAACACGGAAAATCCCATCATCTTCCCGCAGGGGAAACGTTCCATCAAGTAGACAGACTGTTTATTTGGAGGCCAGTGCGTTTGTCCGAAGTAGGAAAGTTGTGCCTCTTTCCTTCTGCAACACGGAGGTCCATGGGATAAGCACTGGGCTGCCTTTTGGGAATGAGTCCTGTTCTAACGAAGTTTCTCGCAGCGTTTTTACACTAATGTATTTTTTGTACCCTAGTCGTGGCGATCCTGCAGACTAGACCAACCAGTCTGAATTGTTTCATCTACAAAAGAATCCACCTCCAAAGGAAAATGGTGGTACCGTTTCTAAACTTCTAGAGCTTGCGATTTATTTTCACATGTGGTAGCATGTCTCCAAACATGCCCCCATCCCAGAGGGATACGCCACTGAGACTAGCTCAGTTTAGCTATCAATAAACTGAGCTGTTAATGCGATAAGTAATGATGACTATTAATTTAGTGATCGAAACTGGAGATTTACAAACAGGCCTACGTTTGTAAAGCATACTTGCAAATTTTCGACAGTCACAACGGTCGGTACATACGAAAGCCCTGAAGAGCCATTGAGTATCTTCTCAAAACGTGGAGATATTTTGCAAAGTTCGTTTACATGAAGTATGTTTTTCGAAGTTCGTTTTTATGAGATACATTTTTGAACTTGCTTTTTACTTTTTTCCAAAGTTTGTTTGTTTGAGATATGTAATTTGCAGTTCTTTCACGCGAGATCTTTATTTAGAAATATTGTAAATATTTTCTGGCTGACCGATCACGTACCTGCATGCTGTTTGACTAACTGAATGATAGACTAGCGACTCACACGGAGCACGTCAGTTGAAAGATTGCTGACAGACTAACCCAATGGTCAACTGAATTACGGCAGACTTAGGCCGTGTCCCAAATGGGCTTCCAGAGCTACGGCTAGGTCTATTGTCTACGCGTCTCCACGCATTTCTAATAAAGTGAGGACCTAGACCTAGCTCTAGACAACAGATTCGGATCAGCCTTATACTGACCAGCAATCTACCACCTCCGAACTCTCCGACTGTCTAAGCTCATGATAACCAACCAACAAATGAATCAAACTCCCAGATGACCAAATGACCGACTATCTGAATGACCAACCACCTCATCGGACGTGCGAACTGGAGTAGGCTGGTTCATACTACAAGCGAATGTGAAAGCGAAGTTAATAAGAAGCCACAAAAGATTTGCAGCAAAATATCG